GGAGAAAAAGGGCTCTGTGTCTGCTGCTCCGTTTCTTGCGAATATGGGATCGAACGGAGTCCACGAACTATTGGCCAACCGAATAGAAAGTTATTTCACGGTTTCTGATCGGCAGATTGCATCGACCGACTCGCAGGGATCTGATAACGCGTCGACACATTTCTATTAATTCCTCCTTACTTTTACCGGGGATTTTCGAAACGCTATAAATACCTTGATATCCCATTGAAACGTTCCATGCGTCGACTGCGGACGCAACCGAACAACGAACACCGATATGTATTGCAACAATTGCTGTGCAATAAAACTTTTATCGCTCGGCTACGGATACTCGCGCGTTCTCGATGCGTTTAGCAAAATAACCGTTGCAATCCAATTTCTTGTAACCTCTATATCGCCCCGGACGTATTAAAATTCTCTACGAGGAAATAAAGTTCCACTTGCTCTAAACGTTGGGAAACTCGTGGCCGAAGAGTGAAAACCGCATTTCCGATATCGTGCGACGAGTCGAGTTTTGTTAGTGTTATCGTATTCACCATGACTGTTGTTACCGTTACCGGCTAGATAATAATTCGCTATTTTCAGCGAACATTGAATAGACCCTCGCGCCGTTTAACTTCCGTCTCGCGTTATCGATGCACTGAAATCAAGCAAGAACTCCGCTGAATTCGTTTAACGTACATTTTTAGTATAAACACCCCCCTCCGGCCGACGATTGGTTTATTTCGAACGAAACACGACCCTGAAACGAACATGAGATATTGCCGTTCGATTCGAACGGTCGCAAATTCGAGTGCATAAACGCGAATTTCCATAGATACTCGCGGTCCGCTCATGAATAAAGAATATTTCAGGTAACCGGTAATTTCAACGAGCGAACCGATGAACAAACGGTTTTCAGTAGAACGAGCCAATATATTCGCTCTCGTTCTACTTGGAATCTTTGAGCCTCCATTATCGGGAACGCTCGCCGTTCGTTTTCTCTATGTCGTCCGATTCAAAATACGAACACCGTTTGCGTTTTACATTTCAGAAATACCGCACGTGCCGAGGAGTCGTTCGGTAAACATCGATGCTATCTCGATACGCCGAGCACAAATTGATGCACAGAGTACACGCGACAGTACGGTCGTTACATCGAGAACATCTCGTTTCGCGGGTCGTAAAGCGAGCAAACTTTACTCTGTTTGAAGATCGTCTGGTTTACTAATATATCGTCGAATCTTCGAGTTCTAATGTACATTTTTCTTCCAACGCGAACACGTGAACGGTACTTCGGAATATTTATTATCACGTGCACGCGTTCGAGAGTACTCCCTAATCTCAAGGTTTCTAGGCTCGACTATCGCGCGACCAAATCCGACCGCGCAATTTCTATGATCCAGCAGCGATTTTTGGCCGACTCTACGCGGGCCAATCCTCTTTCTACCGAACCGTCGACCTTGCGATAAAAACCGAGAACAAACAATTCGCCGCTTAGCCACGGGATACAACTGTTTCTGTAAATATTGACTATCTCGACAGAGGAATTGCTACCTGTATATTTCCATTCGACAGATCCACTCGAAAATATCCAGCTCGAGTACTCTGCTAGGTCGTTGCCGATTAAAGCATTTGATTTCGAATCGTTAGTAAATCTCGATGCCTGCGGCAGCTCATCCCCAATTTGCTCGGATGATTCTTGCCGCTTGCACCGGTACAATGTACGAACCGAACGGCAAGAATTTATTGGACTTAAGATTCATAATAGCCCCCTAAAAATTGAACACATATCTAATTATATTGTAAAAATTACAGGCAATCGTAACAATTCAAGAGTTGTAACACTGATTGCTAGTTCGATAGGAGTAGCTTATTTTCATAAAATAAACCTTATTCGTGAAACAGAAAAAGGACATTACGTTTCGCTGTAATTAGAGCACGATACACGCCCACTCAAACTTCAGACCGACGACGATTTTATTTTCGCCAAGAATCAATCAAGACGCGCGTAATTACGTAAACTACGGTTCATTAGTCGCGTCGATAACCGAGTTTCTAATTAATTCGCAATCTCTGAGCGGTCTCGTCATAGACAATCTCTCGATCGCCGGAAATTCGGCCGACAGATTATCGAGGCCCGGCCGTGAAACTCTTCGCGCGGCCGATGCGGGCGACTTGTTGCTGGAAATAGCCGAGGATCGATCCGATCCGCCGGTTTAATTGGAAAAGTCACGGGGACCGTTATCAGGAGTTTCCTAAAAAGTTCCACGACCGTGCTCACCTCAGCCGCGGCATTATCAGAAAGCACGATCTTCGAAAACAACAGGCAGCGCAGAGGACAGAGAGACGGGGCTGAGTAATCGACACAACAAACATTTGATATCGTGGCTAACGCCTGTTATTCAGGCCAATCATCTTTTTATGAGATTACGCTACCGACGCGTAGGTGTTTCCCCAGGAGTATCGGTCTCTCTGTTATTCGAGGAAAATTACGGGCGAGCGTACACGTAAATAGAGGATACATCAATTGTAAAGTTCGATTATCTAAGGTGTACCGGTTTGGACTTTAACGTCTCGCGGATACTTGGACCCGATCGTGGACGACGAGATCACGATACAGCACGATTCGGTGCGATCCTCCGAGTCTCAGAGTTCAACATTGTTGTTTTTTATCTTAGACACATACCGCTGGACTGATAATTTCACGGTACGCCTGTGGAAGATCTTAAGCGTGAACCGTGCTCTTTCGGAGGAATTATCTTAAGTCGGTAATCCTGCGGTTTAGGATTTCGTCATTTTTCGAACGTTCCAATCTTCGAACTTGTACCCTCGAATTTTCAATGTTTCGAATTTTAATGTTTGACGTTTAAATTTAACGATCTTCGCACTTTTGAATTAGTAATCGAATACACGAATACTCGGATAGTAAGGTAATTGGTTAATCAAATAGCAGGTCATTAAAACACCTAATTAGGAATACGTAACTACGCAAATATTCGAATCCCCAAAACAAGGAAATGTTCGAATGTGTACACGTTTTAGGTTACGTAACTTCCGGTGCTACTAGACTTCCGATAGTCTGGTACGTTTTCTTTGTAATTAACGCTCAATCTTATTACACTGTGATTTCTCTACTGTTCAGAATAATTTTGAATGTAAATTACCGTTACGGTTTATTTTCCTCGGGACAGTTTCCAGTTCAAATCATTAGCCGCAAGGATCATCGATCCCTAGCATAGATATCAGTTCGCGGTTCCGCACGTGCAATAATCTAATCACATCCAGTTTGTGTAATTCGATCTGTTTACCAGACCTCTCTGAATTTCCATTTATCGTTGTATCGAGAGATCGATGATTACGAATGATCACGATTTCTCGGAGATTACCGTTGAAAGTTTTCAACTTGAAATCCGGAAAATTCCGTCATCTTGAATAGAGGCCGCCCTATTTAATGAAATATTAAATATAAATTCTTTCAATCAAATCTCTGAATTTCCACTTATCGTTTTATCGAGATATCGATGATTACGAGTGATTACGATTTCTCGAAGACTACCGTTGGAAGTTCTCAATTTGAATTCATGAAAATTCCGACATCTTGAATAGAAGCCGCCCTATTTAATTAAATATTAAATATTATATATTCAATATTCAATATTCAATATTAAATATTCAATACTTCAATGTCAACAACAGTACAACAGAACGAATAACCTCAAAGGCAATACGAGACAAACTAAAAATCGTTGAATGCCTTTCGTTCGCAAAATTCGAATCTAACGAACCGCCAACAAAAACTGAAACCGGCAAAAAGAAAGAAAGAGGGGAACGAGTGGTATGGTGGAACCGTGGTAATCACAATACAAAGGACACGCAGTTTCACTAACCGTTCGGCAGAAGTGGTTCATGCTTTTTTTCCCTATTAAATTTCACGACCTAATGACGTAGTTCCGAAACGGAAAAAAATCTTCCGATGCTTACTTATACACCTCGTATCCCGGGTAAAAACGAACTCGTTCTGATTTAAATTGACTCACTATCTCCCTGTACGGTGTATTAACGTCACACGGCCTGCAGTTCCGGGCGATATTGTCCTTCAACGAGGAGAATTTTTCGTTTCGGACTCAGACTTTCCTTTCCCTCTTGCTTCTTGCTCGCGATCGATCACCTCGCAGCGAATTCGAGACGGTCGAACCGTTCGATTCCCAACGAAACACATACCGAAAAACCGTTTGTCAGAGCCAATGATCGATATTAGGAAAAACCAAGTGCGTCGATTATTCGAGCTCCGAATCGATCGATCGGTATCCCCGTGTAGGCTATATTTCCGCACTCATCCGAATTATTAAATAATCCACCTCCCTTCAAATTGGCTTAATGAAAATCGAACGATGATTATCGACCCGGAACAGTCGAGTGCGCGATAAAGCGTGTCGCATTCTAAACAGATTTGCTTAATGAAAAACGAACGATGATTATCGAGCGGAACACAGAAAATGGTTCTTAATTAAAAAGAAATCGTGCCCATACATCTGAAACTGAATGATCTGTTTTCTGTATCTAATTTAATCTCGCGACCTAATCGCAGCTGTCACGCGCAATAAACGTGAACTTTAGCAAAACAGAGTTGCTGCCAAGAAGCACTCGACTATCGCTAGTCGATCCAAAATTTCGATTCTCTAAGACGCGTGAGGATAATTTCAAATATGACCTTAGAACATTAGTAAAATGAAGCATACCGATCTAACATGCTACAAGAAAACAAACAAAATGTTCAATTCGATTAAACTACTATAATAAGGGTTGAATATTCTCAACGGTTGAGACTGACCATAAAATATAGCTCGGTATATTCGAAGCGTCCCTCTCGTTCGAAAATCAGTTGGCCGTGTTCGAATGGTACACGTGTGGCGGCACGTGTAAACAAGAGGCAGCGAAGAGCAGAAGCGTCAAAACAACGTACGGGCCGGTTGGTAAAGTAAACGGGCGCCAAGAGGGTACGACGCAATGTCACTCACCGAGCTCGATGTAAATCCGAAATTGTCGTGGGACATCGTTGGGTCGGTCACTTCTTTGCACAAAAGTGTAGCGGCTTCGACTTGTTCACGTGGATGCGGCGGTCGTGCAAATCGTACGGGCGAAAGAGTCGCGGACGAGACAGACGAGCAAGGTTAAGGC